ATCTTAAGTTTGTGCTATTTCTTCTTCCCTACATAAAATGCGATAGGCATTTCTTATTATAAATCTTTCATTTTTCTCCAAGCTTTAGATTTATCTATCCTCATGTTGATTTTTGCTTAGTGGAATGAAACAAATTAACGTTGCCTTTTTCATTAAAAAAATTCTATGAACAATATCCTTCTTCCATATCCTTGTTTTTTAGTCAATCAAGATGATTACTTTAATTTCATCTTCATTAAACTCATTATCTTCAGTGTTCACATTTATTAAATGATTAAGAAGTAGCCATTTATCTCCCTATATTCTGATTTGTTTCTCATTACCTACCTTTCATACAATACTGCCTGTAATGCATTTTTTATTGACCAAATACTCTTTCATGTTAAAAAGGAACAATGGCCAATTGGGGCCTTAAGAAAATTTTTATTTGGAAAATACCTTGCACTAAGAACTTTGTATACTAGAGAGTCAAAATTCATAAGCAATCTTCACGTTTGTTTTACTAAGAGAGCTAGGTTGAAGAGAACAAAGCATTTAAACCCCATTCCACCCATACCTTTACTATGACATATTTTTTCCTATGTCACCTAATGCAACCATTTATCATCCTTCTTAAAACTCCACTAGTATTTACTAACTAGACCATTCAACTCTAGGCATAATCTTTTTGAAAACAAAAAGTAACTCATTGCATATGATGGAATAGCCTGGAGAATATATTTAATAAAATTTTATTTCTCCTTATAATAACATTCGATTACTCTATGTGCTTATTTTTGTTCAAAATTTGCTCTTTATGTCTCGGAAAAGCTCTTTTCTTGCTTTTTTTCAACCAATATAGGTAGCTTTAGATATTTTTCAAGACTTATTGTAGCTTAAAATCCCATGATCCATTTGACAATCACTCTACTTCTTTTCATAGTGTTTTTGTTGAAAAATAAAAAAGACTTTTCATGATTAATTAGCTGACTTGAACCATTTTTATACCTATATAGCAATGACCTTCACTTTTTTACATTCGACTTGGTTTGTTTTATTGAATAGTAAGTTGTCATCTACAAAAAACAAATGAGCGATTCTGGGACTATTTTTGTTAGCTTATATCCCACTAATTAATTTCTCTTTCGATATCTTGCCAGCATTGTAGAGAAACTTTCAAAGCATAACAAAAATAAATATGGTGAAAATGGGTTGCCTTGTTTCAAACCTCATTCAGAGTAAAACATGTTTATGATATCACTATGAACCAATATAAAGTAGGAAACAGTTGAAACACATTTCATAATAATAGACACCCACTTTTTATTGAAACCCAAGTTTCTCATTATGATCTCTAGAAAAATTCATTCAACTTTATCATATACCTTACCATGTCTAGCTTGAGAGCCACAAAACCTTTTCTACCTATCTTTTTATACCTAAGTTTATGGAGAAGTTCATAAGCAGTGAGAACATTATCAGTAATTAACCTCCCTAGTACGAAGGTACTTTGATTTTCACTCACACAATAAGGCATAAAACTTTTTGAGTCTATTGGCCAATATTTTTGCAATTATCTTATAAACTACATTGCACAAATTGATGAGCTAGTTATTTCCTATGGGTTTTTCACCTAAGGATAAGAGTGATAAATGTGATTTACCTCCTCAATGTTATTCACCCATTCAAACAGGATAAATAGAAAGTAGTAACATCCTAACCTACAATATTTTAGTATTTTTAATTAAAAAAATAGGTATACAATCTGACCATGTGCTCTTATTAGGTGAATTTGTTTTACAGTTTCATAGATCTCTTTTTTTTTAACTCTGTAGTCAAAGCCACATTCATTTAATCTGTGATGCATACGTCTACAACTCCAATTATGTCTTCAAAGTTTCTTGACCTACTCGTCTTAAATAAATTCTTAAAATATTTCATAGCAATGGTTTCAATACTAGCCATAATTTTACACCACCTACTGTCCTTATTAACAAGCCATTTAATAGTGTTTACTTTCCTTCTGGACTTGGCTTGAAAGTGAAAAGCTTAATTAATAACTATCCATTAAAATCATGGTCCTAAGATTATGCCATGACCACAGACATTAATAACAAAAAAATAACCAACACATAAAAAAACATGAATAATTTTAAGCAATCCTAAACACATCTTCTAACACTCATCCTTGCTTTAAGAGTTGCAAACACAAAGTTTTATTCTTAGAAATTCAAACTTGCTAACCGGTAGTGGCTTAGTGAAAACATTTACAACCTGATCTTTTATTTTGTAGTAGATAAGAACTACAGCTCCATCTTTCTGTACTTCTCTTAAAAAAATAATTTAATATTGAAATGCTTAATTTTCTCGTGAAACACAAGATTTTGAGAGATAACAATAGTAGCTTGGTTATCAATAAGAATCTTTATGCTTTTTTTCTGCTCTAAGTTAAGATTGATTAAAATCTTTTTTAGCCACAAAGCTTGATTAACAGTAGCTGTTGCAGTAATAAACTCTACTTCAACTATGGATTGAGTAACTGTTTCTTATTTTTTTGAGCTCTATGAGAAAACACCAGAACCAAGTGTGAAACAATAGCATGAATTACTCTTCATATCATCAAGGAAACCTCTTCAATCACTATCTAAGAAATCAACCAGCTTGAACTTTTTGCTTTTTATGTATTTAATATCAAAATCATATGTACCTTTCATATATCTAAGCACTATTTTTGTAACCTTGAGATACCATTCGCTTGCATAGTGCATAAACCAAGATAAAATGCTTACAGCATTCAAAATATCAAGCCGAGTTACTATGAGATACATTAAGCAACTAATCAAGCTTTTGAAATATGCCTGATTAATTTTTTCTGTTTCATCTTTTTTACAAAGCTTTTCCTTTGAGTTCATTGGTGTGCGCATTTCTTTACATTCTTTAAGTTTAAATTTCTTCAAAATCTCCTTGACATATTTCTTTTGAAAGATGAAGACTTCATATTCATTTTGTTTGATTTCCATTCCAAGAAAGAATGTCATCAATCCAAAATCTATCATTTCAAAAAACTCTATTATCTCTTGTTTAAACTTCTCCACAATACTTGTGTTGTTTCTTGTCACAAGTAGGTCATCCACATATAGTGGGATGATAAGAATGTCAGCTCTATTGTGCTTAACAATAATGTTAATTCAAATAAGATTTTAGCAAATCCCAAGTTCTACAAATATTCATCAATCTTGCTGTACCAAGCTCTTGGAGCTTACTTCAATCCGTAAAGTACCTTTTTAAGAAGATAAACCTTATTTTCTTTTCTTTCCTTTACATAGTTTTTTGGTTGCTCTACATAAATCTCTTCCTGCAAAAAACCATTCAATAACGCTAATTTGACATCTAATTGGTGCACTTTTTAATTCTTTTACATTGCAACAGCAAGTAAGAGCCTGATGGTGTCAAGTCTAGCAACTGGTGCGAAGATATCTGAGTAGTCCGCACCGAGTATTTGAGCATATCCTATGATCACGAGTCTAGCTTTATACTTGTTGATTGAGCCATCAGCATTAAGCTTAGTGCTGTACACCCACTTGACTCTAATTACTTTTTTGTTTTGGGATCGATCAACCAACTCCTATGTTTTATTCTTTTCATTCATGAACAGTTCCTCATTTATTGCAGCAATTCAATTTTGATATGTCTTAGCTTTTTCATAATTTGTAGGTTCACACACAATAATATTGCATCTTTGATAAAACATTAGAAAGTAGTCTTGTACCTCTAATAAGACTGTCATCCACTATTTCATTCTTCCAATCTCTAATGCTAGGAAACTTGAGCTTGGGCTCTTTTAGGATTGGATCCATCTTCTTTGCATCATCCTAATTCCACTCTTTATCTTTCATAAAGTGCATATCCCTGCTTATAATAATTTTTCCAGTTTATAGCTGAAAAATTTTATAAGTTTTTGTAATCGAGCTATAGCCAATAAAAATGCCTGGAAGTGCTCTTTTATCTAGTTTATCTTTCTTGTGAAGCATAAATATCCAAATATTTTAAGAAATTCAGATATGATTTATAACCATACCATGCCTCAAAGGGTGTTTGATCCTTCATTGCTTTTGTGGGAAGCCTATTTTGCAAAAAATTAGCAATGTTTGGTGCTTCAGCCCAAAATTGCTTTAACAGGTTCTTCTCATATAGCATACATCATGTCATCTCTAATATGAATCTATTCCATCTCTCATTTACTCTATTTTGTTGTGAAGTGTATGGAGCAATTAATTGATGTTGGATGTTTGTCTCCTCACAATAACAAGTGAATGCTTCAGAGGTGTACTCCTTGCCATTGTCTGATCTGAGAGTTTGAATTCTACAGTCACTCTCATTCTCAATTCTAGTTTTAAAGTTCCAAAAGACTTGAGTCACCTTTGACTTATGCTTCAAAAAAAAGATCCATTACATAGGGGTGAAATCATCAATGAATACAATATAATAAAGACTACCTTTTAGAGAAAGCATTCTTGGTAGGCTTACAGAGTCAGTATGAATTAATTGTAACTTCTTTGATGCTCTTTATGTTGTTTTGGGAAATGGTTTCCTACTTTGCTTTTCAAACTGACATGCTTTGTAGTTTGGAATATGATCATCAAGTTCTGAAAAATCATTTATCATTTTCTTAGATTTCATCTGCAACTGCCCTTAATGATGATAGTGCTCGAGCCTCTTGTGCCATACTTCAATGATATTTTCTTTGATTGGGAAAGCAGTTTGCTCTCCAATAGATTTAAAGCAAAGCTTTTTCTTTTCCTTTTTACTTTGAAAATATCTTAGCCAACTGTATCTTTAATCAAGTAATTTTTATCTTCGAACACAATTTTGTAACCATTTTCAATTAGTTGTCCAACACTTAACAAGTTTTGATCAATTTCAGGGATATATAACACATCAAAATTGAACTTTGTACCTAAACAAGTTGAAATTATAACTATTCATTTTCCTTTCACAGTTATGTACTTGCCAGTACCAACTCAAACCTTTGATGAGTTTACGCTACTTAGTTTTCTGAATAGATCATTGTTATATGTCATGTGGTTATTACAACTAATGTCTATGAGCCAACTCTCACTTGATTTGATGTCAGAGAAACATGTAACGATGAACAGGTGATCTATCTCCTCTTGATCAACAATCTTTGCATTTTCACCATGTTGTTGATTTTTGTTTTTACATATAACAGCTTCATGCCCCATCTGATTACATTTAGTGCACTTAGCATCAGGTTTTCTCCAGCATCTAAATGGAGAATGACCCTTCTTTCCATAGTGTTGGCAAGGTGGATAGGATTTCTTCTGATTTTCACTCTTTTTTTTTGCATTGGCTAATGCTATACTTGCCTCATTTCCTTCAAAATCCTTCTTCCTCTTTCTTTTGTTTTTCGCCACGTTTTGATGCTTGGCTGTCAAAGCTCTTTCGATTGTTGTATCGTCCCTCATTAATCTTCTTTGTTTTTGTGCTTGCAAAGCGTTAAGCAATTCTACTAAGGAAATTTTTGACAGATCCTTAGTATTCTCCAAGGTAGTGATGGTTACTTCATATCTTTCAGGTACTGTAACAAGAATTTTTTCTAAAATTTTTGAGTCAGTAAATTTAGATCCAAGAAGCCTCACTTTGTTTGCGATACTAAAAATCCTGTCGGAGTAATCTTTAATCATCTCGGAGTCTTTCATTCTTTGAAGTTTAAATTCCTTAATCAAGTTCAGAACTTTCATCCCTTTAATTCTTTCATCCATTCATATTCGTTCTTGAGATAATCTCATATCTCTTTTCCTGACTTCAGAGACATGATATAAGTGAAAATGGTGGATGAGACTGCAGCAAACAAGTAGGCCTTTGCCTTTGATTTCTTTGTCTTTTTTTCTTTCTGTGCTTTAATCTATGCCATGGTGGGATTATTTGAAATTACAAGAATTTCATAGTTTTCTTCCACTACTTCCCAAAGATCCAAAGTTTCCAAGTATGTCTCTATACGTACTGCCCAAATCTGGTAGTTATCTCCATCGAACATCGCCAAAGCAATTACGGAGAGACTGGCTTCAGCTTCTATGATGCATCAATTTCATACACAGATCCCTTAAGAAGAAAGTTCTGATACCAAATGTTGATATCTTAAAGCAAAGAAAAACTTCTACACATTCTTAGCATCAGAAACATTACAATTTACAGCTTAATTAATAACTACCCACTAAAATCATAGTCCTAAGATTATGCCATGACCACAAACATGAATAACAAAAAAATAACCAACACCAAAAAATAGAAATAATTTTAGGCAGTCCTAAACACATCTTCTAACACATTCTTAACCTCTAGGTCTACCCCAAAGAAAGAATCCATCATACATTTCCTCTTTATTCTGTCCATTTTTGCTATTCTTAGATGTGTTTCGCTAAGAAACACTACATCAGAATCTTTTTTCTTCACCAATCTGTGAAATGCCTTAATTGCCCGTGGGTTCCAAAGCCTGCGAGAGTTTTCATGATTCCCGACGCAATTGGAATCCAACCTCCATTGATCTATTCATGTTACATCCTTGCTGGTTGTGGCTCATTTCTTTTTTTATGTGGTACTTCTTCTTATTCCTAGTCATCGTGGCTTTCTTCAGTCTTATTTTGTTTCTCCCCTAAAATTACATGAACTATGTGTTGGATTTGACTAAAGGCCCTCGCTAGTTTCTTCCACTTCACCTTCGCACGTTGCATGGGTCTTTTTTTATTAATTTCAAAACATGCGTTTTTGTTTGTGGTCCTACTTACCAGTTTTACAATCAACTTTGCATAGATGTTTTTGGTGGCTACTTCAGTTTATATGTTATCATTGATGATATTACTGCCCACCTTAGTGTCCATATTCTTTCCCATACACAAACCCATCTCGTTTGGTCCCACTTCACTATTCCCTGGTACATTCATCCCCATCAGATTATTACCTAGATTCAAGTTATACGTTCCTTCCTCAATACAACTCCTTTCTATCCGCTGAGCAAAACTCTCAGATATTGTTCCATTTGAATAGGATTCTGACTAAATTGAAAAAGATTCCCATACATTTCGGCCTCTATTTGGGTGTTAACTAAATCAATTGGTTCCCTTCTTTCTCCACAAACTTTGCCTCTTCCAAATTAAGTCATTTGTACACCAGCGTCCACTTGTGACTGCTAGTTTTGGCCGCCTCATCCAATTCTCCTCCATATCCCATCTCCAGCTAACCTTTTCTTGGTGCATTTTTCGTCCCACCAAATTTCTTTTCTTCAGTGGAAATGCTCATAACCAATTACCGTATTCGAGTGTATGATTTCCATCACTGGATTGGTCTGTTGTTTTTGAACATTCTGACTCTATTTGCCCTAAGACTCTACATTTGTAGTATAAATTTGGCAAGCGTTCATAGCCCAATCTTCCAACAAAATCCTATCCTTCATTCCTTTTAATCAACACAGCTCTTCTAAGTGGTTTTGTAACATCCACCTTTACACAAAATCGTAGAAACCTGGACCAACCTCCTTCATCAAGCCTCACGTCTACCTCTATAAGGTCTTCTATTTTACACCCTACCTTTTTTGTAGTATCATGAGTTCTCATCCTTAAAAGCAACCCATAAACTCTGATCCAGGACTCCAAACGATTAAAACTATAACAAGCAGATTTTTATTAAAAGGACCGTGGGGCTCCTTTTATGACCCTCTTTTATTATGCCTCATAATCAAATTTGAACAAAAAGCGATTATCCTCCAACTCTATGATTATCGCCTCTTTGGTGATCCTTCATACCACTTTTACTGTACTCATCACTGCATCTTTGTTGAAAGGACGAGTAGTAAGTAATCTCCCCACCATTCACCTTTTCTCATCCATATTCACAGTCTCCGGCTCTGATTCACATGGTGGAATATTATCCAATTCTTCTTCAGTGAAAGTTAGGGACTTCCACAGTCCTTCAAGATCATCAACCATTTTGGTTCTTTAGTATTTGTGTCTAGATAAATACTCCAGAACCTCGCTAAATAGAGAAATCACTAAGACACCTTTCCAAGACAACAAATTGACTACTAAAACTGAAACCCTAAAGGTAACACAGAGACACATAACCCTAAGGGAATATCGTCTAGTAAAAACCCAAGACTAGATTTCTCCTACACAGAGAAGGCTTTACCTATTGACTATTGTTACAACTAGTAAACTTATTCAGCTTAATTGCACATAAACTCAATCCAAATTCAAGCTAGGAAATCATCCAAATTGCCAATGGCATCCACTAAGTGCTATGATCAACCATGAAGCAAAACACTTTTGAATTTCAACAAGTTAACTCTAAAACATCTAAATTCATTTTTCCTCTAAAATGATAAAAAAAAAAATACATACACAAGAGAAATTTCATTAATTAGGAGTATTTTTTTTTCATATTTTCTTAAAAATTAAGCAAGAATTTATCATAAAAGACTATAATAATTGTATAAAATTGTAGAATTATCAATAAAGCAATAATAATAAAAGAAGAATAACACAACTTCCCATATTAGTGTTCACAATACATTAATAAGAGCCAAATAAGTCTAACTCAAAATCTCATTAAAAACATGAACTTACATATATCTGCATTAAATTCCAGCAAGTTCAAGAAATCTACTGGAGGATTTCTTCCTATTCATCTCTATTTTCATTTTCTTTTAATTGCTTTCATAATTGATATAAAAGTAGACTAAAAAAGTAATTACCATCATTAAATAAAAGGTTTAAGATCTAATATATAAGGTTATTCATTTTTCCTTACTAATATATTGTATAATTTTTCTCGCAATTAGAATGTTAAACAAACTAAAATATTAAGTTGTGATATAACAAAAATATATATATATATATATATAGTGTGTTTGATAAATCCATGAAAACAAAATTTTTTTAAGGATTTCATATTTTCATTGTTTTTGAGCTTTGAGCCACATAAAAGGATTTTCAATTGAAAAGTGTCGAAAATCACGAGTAGTTAAAAGCTTTTTTTTTTTTTTTTTCGGCCTGTGTAGTTAAAAGCTATTTAATAAGTTCAATCATTAAGTAACTCAATCATTTTTATTTAAAGAAAATTTCGTCATTTAAGCTTATACGATTTTATTTTTACTTTTTACTTTTATCAATGCAAAATATTTAATAAAAATTCTACTCATATTTAATTTTTAGTTGGAAATACCAAATGATTTTTAGATTAACAATTCAGTATTTCATTTTTCGAAACTAAAAATTCATTATTTCACTTTTCAGAATTGAAAGTTTTCAGTTTATTTATCAAACATTCTAATATTCATATGAAATGAGATACATTAATTGAATCTACCAAGAGAGTATATTAACTTTTTAGTTTTGTTTATCATAATTCATGTAAAAATTAAATCATTCATCATCAATAACTAGTTGAAAATAATAAGAATGAAAAACATATCCGAGTAGCATTAAAGAAATGGCAGGAAGAGCAACTCCTGACACCTAAATGTAAGAGTTGTCATCTTTGTTCACAGGAAAAACCAAAAGTGCATTTTATAAATGCTCCAACAAAACACTAATTAAACAAGAAAAACATCTAAATGAAAATGGGTCTTATAGTTTTCAGCTTCTGTCAGCTTCATTTTTTCATGCCAGTTGCATCCTTCATTGCCTCTTTAGCTCCCTCTGCCTTGCTCATCATCTGCTGCCCAGTCTGTCAATATATAACAATAGATACTAAAATATTGTTACTTTAAAAAACCCAAAGGAAACTATAGTTAGGGGTGAGCATTAATCGATTGTAACTGATTTACTCCATCGAAACTGACCAAAATGCTTGGTTAGTTCGATTTTTTAATTTTTTAAACCGAAATGACTAATGCTCTCCCTTAGCCATAGCTAGTTGGATCCATGATTTTGGAGTTAATTTTTTTCAAACCTCTTGCATTGATTCCTTAGCAGATTGGGCAGCATTGGCAGCCCTGTCCATCATGCTGCTGGTCTTTTCCTGAAATAAACATGAAAAAACACACCCATATAGATCTAAATTTGTAAATAGCTAGGATCATACTTGAATCATTCCCAAATCTAAAGCAACTCCACAATTCAATGATTCAAATTTTGGAAATTAAAGTGTGAGACCATATTCACTTGCCAACTAATTTTGTGAGACAAATAGGTAAAAAATTTACCTCAGCCTGGCCCTTTGCCTCTCCAGCCTGGTAGCTCATGCTCTGAGAAGAGTTATCAGACATATTTGATCTTTGTTTTGGAATCTAAAAGCTTTAGAAAGTAGAAATTAGAGTGGTAGCTGTATATTAATTATCAAGATAAATTTTTCCAGTTTATAGTTTCGAAAACCATTTCATTTCTTGACACGTAGGGGCGAAGGCAATTTTATAGGGAGGTCTCTCAGCCTTTTGACTAGGGAGCTTTAATGAATATTTCAATTTGAATCAAAGCAGTTCCATGCTGTTTTGGTGGTCGAAACCTTTGACATATTCTTGCCCCTTGGGTGCACATGAATAAGGACCTATAACAGTTTGGTTTTGGAAATAATTTGTGATTAATGAGCTGTGTTTTGATTTTTCCAAAATCGAACTTGTTATAAGAAAAGAAATTCTTATATTTTGATCTGTTTGTAAAATTGTACAATGAGCGTTTTACATATTCTGAGAGATTCTCACTAATTTAGGAAAAAATCAAGCAAAAAAACTGTAATTAAATCATAATCATATCGTATTATAATCCTTAAAATTAAAATTAAAATTATTACATTAACACTCCCCTCAAACTCAAGATGATATGATTGATGTCACCTTAAATTTGTTAACTAATTCTTGAAATCGATCAGAAAGATGCGTCCTAATAAAAATATAAGGTTAATTTTATTTGAAATAGACACAAAGGTTAGATGAATAATTCATGTGTAACATGATAACATACAAAATGACAATCAATCTCAATATATTTTGTGTGCTCATGAAACATATCATTATAAATAATCTGAATCATACTTTGATTATCACAATAAAATATGATGGCAGACTGATACGCCTATTATCTCGTAAATGATGAATCCAAAGTAACTATGAAGTTGCGTCCGTAAGAGCATGATATTCTAATTCAATACTAGAGCAAGCAATTCCTGTATACTTCTTGCTTTCACCAAGAAATGAGAGAACCAACCAACAAGGACTAGTAACAAATGGTTGAACGACAATCTATATGATCTCATGTCCAATCAATACCAAAATACGCAGATATATAGAACGAAAGAGGAGTGAGCAGAAATATGAAGTTCATGAAACAACGTGCCTTTGGCAAAGTGGAAAATGCGAAGAACAACTAAGAAATAAGTTGAATAGGGAGAAATCATAAATTGGCTTATTAAATGAAAAGCATAAGCAATATCGGGCTGAGTCATTGAGAGATGGGCTAAACTCCCAACAGGTTGGTGATATAGAGTACCATTTGCAGTAAATTTAACATTAGACTCCAAAGGAGTAGAGATATTTTTACTATCAATAATGTTAGTCGGAAAAAATAAATTAAATGCATACTTAGACTGAAATAGATAATAGCCATTAGAGTTTAAAAATTCAAATAGGTTATTTGTCACACTTTAAAGAGGTTTTACCGTCAAATTCATTTAATTTTTGTTAAAAAAGTTTTATTTTAATAATTGAAATTTTTGTGAGGATTTTAATATTAAAAATCTTTTTTAAATTATCTAATATGTTAGTAAAATTTAAAAAGAAATTTTCATCTAAAAATTTATATAAAAATTACCATTTACAATGCTCTTATAATGATTCCATCATCGAAAATTTAAAATATAACTTTGTAAAAAACCTCTTTATTTCTAGAAATATACTCTAATATCTTAGTAAAATTTTCGGTTAGAAATTATTCTTCAATATATTTGTAGGATTTTATAGAAATTATTTTTTTAAAATTTAATTTTTATTTAAAAAACATAACAATTTTTAATATATTGATAAAACATTATCTTAAAAACCAAATTACCTTCCAATATGTTGATAAAACTTTATTGAAAACTATTTTTCTCTTGAAATTAATTTTTTATAAAAAATTAATAAGGTTCTCTAATATGTTGATAAAACTTTATTTTAAAAATCAAATTGCTTTTTGATATGTTTATAAGATTTTTTATTTTATTAAAACAATTTATTAAAAATTTGAATCTTCCAATATGTTATTAAGATTCTTTTTATTTAAACATTTATTTGAAGAAAATTTGAATCCTTAGGGTTTTTTTTATTTTATTTAAAAATATATTTTTCCTCTTTTTTCCTTTTTTAAAAAATTATTTACAAATAAATAAATACATAAATAAATAAAATGAACAAATAAACAAACAAATAAATAAACAATTATAATAAAATACAAGGATCACTAAAACTTAAGAAAAAGACAAATAAAAAATAAACACCAAAGATTGGGCTACAAACAAATGTCAGTTCTTTTTTACATTTTTTGCTTCTTCACCCTCTTGTCTTCTTTATTGTTTCTCTACGAAACAGCTTATGGCTTTACTAGTGCTTCTCACCTATGGTGATTATCTTTTTTTCTAGTTTAAACAAAACTTAAATAGAAACCTAAAATATATAAATGCGAAACCCTCAAAAAATTTTGCTGTCAAAATTTTTTGTTGAATGTTTCCTTTTTATATTTTTTCTCAACTCCTTTTCACAACACATAATTCCAAAAAAAAAAAAATCTTAATTATCTAAACCTAAAACACTATAAAAGACTATAAAAAAAACTCTTAATTTCAGCCTTTCAACCCCTTTTGCCTTCTAGTCTTTCAGCCCCCTTCCAACTGTCAGCCCTCACACCTCTCATCCTTTGCTCCACTCTATGCTTGGTATGTTTCTTTTAACAATAATGTCTAGTTTTTAGTGTTATTCTTTTTGGATTTGTAATTCTTGGGGTGATTCTTTGATTTTGAGTTATGATTTGGTGTAATTTTTGGATTTGTCCAATGTTATTGAAAACAAAATGTAAACAAAAAATATAGTGATTTGCATATTTTCCTCATTCTTCTTTTTTTTTTTAATTTTGTTTTACTACCGTATCTTGAATATGAGTATATCTTTAGCAATTATCTTAGTTTTTTATATTCCGCCATAGTCAGCTCTAAAATGCACACATCTTCGTATGTGTGAACTTCTTATTCTAGTTTTTTTCTTTTTTTTTTTTTGTGTGTAATTTCATTTAAAGACTGAAACAACCGAATAAATCAACCAAGTTAAATCAGTTCGGTTAATTTCAATTTTCTTCATAATAATCCATTGATTCAATTTTTAAAAAAATTAAATCAATTTAATCGATTTTCAGAATTTTACAATCATTGAATTCACAGCTCTACTGTTTATTAGAGTAAAAAAATTAAATCAATTTAATCGATTTTCAGAATTTTACGATCATTGAATTCACAGCTCCACTGTTTATTAGAGCCAGACAGTTATCGAGTCATGCAAGTGTAAGAATTGTTTTTGTTATTGCTAGTAAAAGTTGGTAACACAGGAACTGTAAATCCGAGATTCTCGAATAATAAAAGATTGGGGAAGAAGAGCGCATACAGAGTCTGAGAAGGTCGGCTGTAATGAAATGAAATGGAATGAAATAGAATTCTCTCTCTCCGATCTGTTTATTCTGGCATATTCTATCCCTCTGTTTCTCTATTGTTATCTCTGTCAAATTAATTTGTCATCACCAGATTTTTTTTTTTGATGAGATGAGACTTGCATTATACTTGCTTCTCCAGATCCTACTAAAACCTTATTAGCTAACCAAACAAGTTCATATGGAAGCTTTGGAATATGAAAGAGAAGAAGGGCCTTTTCTCTCTTCGGTTCGCATAGGAAGAAGAGGATTAATAGGTGGAAGGTTTTAACACAAGTTAATTAATGAAAGCCTCGAGGTAGAACTAACATAAAATGCTTGCATCTAGAAATCTAACTAATAATCCTATCTTTTTACAGCCTCACCCTATAAATAAATTCTTGTAAATTTTACAACAAATGGATTCACTGATAAAAAGCTTCAAGTAAATATGTGTTTTATTTCAAAATTGAAGCAACTAATTCATTCCAAGTACATATATAGCTAAATAACTCAAAATTTTTTAGTCAAATGTGAAGAAATTGATAAATTCAATTACGTTGAAAAAAATGGAATTAGAAGAAACTCTCCCCTTGTTTGTAGAGAAGAAGAAACCCAACTTTATTGAATCAATAAGAAGATCAAGGGAAGCTCTACCAGGCCCACAACGACACACTCTTGGGAGCCAAATACGTAGCATTTGAACAACATCTGTATTTCTCAAATGATGGCATGAAAACTGAATCAGAAGAAGGTGACCCAAAAAAATGTTGATCCTAATTTCTTTGACGAGTAATGGTAGAGTAGGAAAGGAGAGAGAAGATAACAGAAAAAACGCCATGTAGTAAGTTTTTGCCACGTTAACCATGATATGGCACTCATATGTTGAAAAATAAAGATTTTAAGAGGTAAAATCTCCTGTTTTTTTATAAAATGTGATCAAAATTCAATTTTAATGGAATTCATGAATTAAATTAGTTTAATTTGATTAATCGATTAATTATTAAATTATATTCTATTGATTAGTGAAAATAGTTTTAAAAATTTTAATTTTCTATTAATTTGATATGGAAATGAAATTAGTCCAATTTTAACCAAAATATAATAAAATTTATATATAAAACTAAAAATATATAAAATTACTCATTTTATTTTAAATTATTAAAATTTTTAATTTAATATTTAGATATTTAAATATTTTTATTGAATAATCTTATTAATTTATTTTAAATATAAGAAATCTAAATTTTAAAATAAATTTAATTTAATATACTTTATTATTTGATTAATCAAAAAAATTAATCAAATTGATTGAATTAATTTTAATAAATTAATTTTTAAAATTAAAAAATTTAATTCAATTAACAAAAATAAAATATTTTATTTTATTTTATTTTATTTTTAATAATCGGATTCAAAATTAACCAAACAAATCAAATAAACACCCATAATTCCCTATCAGTTATGACAACCCTATATCAGAAAAACAAAACAAACTGTTTTATATGCGTAGGTGAATTTGGCTTTGATAATAAAAGCAAAGAAGAGATCCTATCTATGACAGGTGGAAGGATATGTTGAAGATCCCACCTGCCCGCTTTAGCACATTTTATGCATATCAACAACTCCTTCTACTCTCTAAAAAGATTTACGTGATTTGTAAACTCTGCAGCAGATTATGCTTCCTTGAACGGTGAAATAAAAACATTGATTAATCCAAAAAAGAAAAAAAGATTTAACGCATGAGACAAGAATTCATGAAAGGAAAAAGCAATTGATGATGATAATTCGTACACCTCCATCATCCCCAAAAAAAAGAGAAATTAAGGAACGATTAGCCTAACAACAAGTCGGTATTTGGCAATCCATTCTAAACATAATATAAGGAAAAAAAATAATTGAAATACACAAGTAGTCTAGTAGCGTAACCTGCCTTTTGATGGGAGACATTCAATGCAGCTGTTTATGCTTTCCCTATCAATTCTGTAGATTGTATGTGCTTTCTATTTTGCTTCTCATACTCATCTTTTGAATCTTCTAAGCTCCTTGATACCTGATAATGAACCCAACATGTATACATATACAGTAATTATTAATTGAGAATTCATTACTAACCTTTTCGAATTCACTAGATATCATCAAAGTCACGATGTGTACTGTATAAGTAAACAAACATATTCACTAGTTTTTACTGCAAGAAACCATTAGCATGGTTATCATTTGCTATTTGAATTTACATCCTATTAAGTTTCCGCTATAATGTCTGAAAAAGGAATGGTAATTAGTAGTAGGGGTGAAAAATCCTGTTAATACACAAGTAAAACTTATTTTGAGGTTGTAAACGCCAAATCACCTTCTTTACCTCTCGCTCTTCCTCTCATTAAGCTTCTTTTTACAAGGTGTTTTGTCTCCTAATTTTTCTACTATTTGGCCTATTTTTCCTTTTAAAACAAAAGGACCACATGAAATAATTGAATGAGCCCTTGTGCAACACATTAAACCAAGCTTTTCACAACAATCCTGAAAAAACAATTGTTCACATTAACACAAAGAGTAAAATCCTAAGAACTAAGCAAGAGGTGATTCAAGATTTATATATTTCTTAAATATTCTATAAATGTCAGCATAGCCAATTTTATACCATGTACTTGTGAAAATCCTTTGCAATCAAAATTTATAAATTCTTGTTCAATAAAAAAATAAAATTTCTGCCACTGACATTCAAAAAACCTTTTACAAGATTGTTCATGCAAACAGGTTAATTGCCCACCAAGGAGGTATAAAAAATTATTAGATGTATAACTAAATCAGAAATTTCAAGCCCATTACAATGCCAGAGCAGTTCACACACCTGCTATTAGCAAAATCAGTAAATATAAAATGATATACAAGTAATCAAGCAGAAACATGCACATAAAATAATATCACAAAGCTAAACCTTAGCACAATTCAAGTAAATGTTCAACAACCAAGACTGCTAGAGAGAGAGAGAGAGAGAGAGAGAGAGAGATCATCATGCCACAAGAAAGATGCATGCAGATCTTAGAAATGAATGGAATAGAGAAATTTAAAATACTTAATGCCATAAACACTTGTAAGCATGTAAGAAAGAGAACCTTGATCGAATATGCCATAGGCAGCAACGTATCTGGATCCATTGCATCCTCCGGGAAGTTACGCAAAGCATGAATGAGTTTCTCAAAGGATAATTTTATCTGATGAACAATGTCACTACCATTTTTAAGCACTAAAGAAAAATAGTTAATTGGATCTCAAGCAGACATCAGTTCTTGAACTACTCACCAAGTCCTCATGGCAGTACTTTAGAAGGGCCAACCCAACTTTAAAGACAATCTTGACACCCTAGAAAAAGGAAAAATATTTGAAAAAAATTATTTATTTATTTATTTATTATTATTATCATTTTTTAAGAAAAAATATTTTACTTAAAACCAATTTTCAGGCCATGTAATTTATACTAGGGTTGGAACCCATATCATATTTCCAATCACTGACCTCATAGAGAAACACATCCCATATTCGAAGAGCCAAAGGGAACGGAAATGAGTATGAGAATACAGTTATGAACCACTGGCTAGCATACATGCTTGGATTTATCATCTCCTGGCTAAAATGCTCACCCAACTTTGGCAACTGCTCTCTGACCAAGTGGTCAAATTGAAACAGGTATTGTTGTACAAGAGGCAGCCCCACCTAAGTAGTGCATACAAAATTTCAAAGAACAGAAAGATTGAATGCTATATAAGTAAGGCTTTCTGCTCTGTAGCAAAATCCACTAAATGCCAGTGGCAAAACAGACAGAGGTGCAACCAGAAAAATGAAAGCCCCTAAAGAGATAGCATACAATAACTTCCAAGGAAGTTGTGTTACAGTAATCCCATCAAAAGTTGTTGAGAATACCAGGTAACTTATATCTTAGAGTAGAATGCCAAATGTGACAATATGCCAATTCCATCATAAGAGGATATACATAGACATAGTTTAGAAGACGCAGAAATAAGGAGCCTAGTTCTTATTTTTTGACAACAATTACTTCAAAAATGTAATTGGCTCATTTCAAAAAGGAAAAGGCTGGAAAGAGGTTGATTACAAAACTAATTCAAATTACTGGTCATTTCAACAGAGAGCCCCACTGTCCACCAAGACACAAAGCTGTCGATTCAATTTATAATCTAAACTATAAAATTTCCTTGCAAAATTAATCTAGGTACCGTTCATGGATTCAGTCACGGAACTCATGATAAAATCAACACAAGATAGAATTTAAAGCCTGACACCAGAAGCTAGTATAACCTACTATGAAATCATATGCCAATTCCTGAGTAACAGACAGTTGCAATCACTATCTTTCCTAAGTCCTAATTAAACCATTAACAATCTAAAAAGATGTATCTCAGATAGCAAAATAGGTTTATGGAATACAAGAAATACCTGATATAATCCTTCCATAGGAGCATGAACAGCTCCTTTTAGTAATGCAACCAATAACCAAAATGCATCCTCTTCACTCATATAAAGAAGCAAAAGACCTGCTAAAAAACCCATTCCCTGCATTTTCAACAAAAAACTAATAGCATTATTACCTCAGACAATATATACAAATATGAGGGCCAAGACACATGAGATGAACCTGAACATAGCCGACATCTCTATCGAAGACAGAGTATGCCTTCAAAACATTGTAAAGGGACCTTTGACCAGGGCCATGTCTCTGCTGAAAGAAAACATGTGAGGGAAAGGTGCGAGATATATCCCGGATTATATCTAGTTCAGAAGCAGATGTCTCATAAATTACAAGTTGCTGCAACAGACATAAAGATTCATCAGCAAAGAACATGTGCAACAAGGAAGAAGACTTTCATTATTAAAAGAAAATATTTTAAAAGAAAAAGAAAAGAACACTTTAAGCTGAGAAAACATTTGTCCAAATAAGAACACTTTTCCCCCCTAAAAAGTCAAATGAGCAAATAACTTTTCCAGCAATCCAGCTCATTATCATCAACCCAACATTATATTAATCAGCTCCAGCAACCAATGAGCAAGGGTAGATAAATGGACAAAAACTAGATCAAATGGACCCAAAAGTTACACAAAGTGACAGACAAAATGATTTTGGCACCATTATCCCCTGAAATGCCAATTCATAAGCACTTTATGACTGATGTTTGAATTGTAAATATTGATTTTTACATTAACTTAATGACCTTATACCAAATTGAAGTCAATGCTTGCATCCATAAAGATATGAAACAAATCAGAAGGAAAGGTAAATTACTTAAAACATTAGAAAACTGAGAACTCTTCTCAGATCTTCAAAAGCCCATGCTTTAGTGGTCACTCCTGAATGAAAATAACCCCCCCCCCCCCCTGTTCCCAAATCTTCTTAGCCAGCCTTTGTTTCAAGCTTCAGCAGTTTCGCAACCCTAAATGACCACTTGAAAACCATTTTTTATATCACAACCTAGGCCCCGTAAGTTGTCTAAAAGGGTTTGCTCCAGACATGACAGAACTTGACTCTGCAACTGAAATCCAAATTGGATGCAACCATAATGTTTCTCAAACAAATTGGTCTGTTACAAATTGCTATACTTGGGATTGAGCTCCAACCCATAATGAAATCATTCATGGTATTGTTAAAAAAGGATATTTAGTACACTAGATAGAAACACTATTTAAATATTCAGGGCCCACCCTCACCAAATGATTTACAGAAACCTGCTTAAAAGACTTTAAGGTGAAACTGATGAACTAGTTTTCCAGCTCACCCTTATATAGGCTTGAGGTTAAGGTCTATGAAAACAAGAATTTCATGACAATAGCAAGCAGCAGTAATCATTAATTATCCTGGAACAGAAAGAGAGTTTGGAGTCTTATGATATTATCCCATTCATCTATAACTTCACAATAATTCTCAATGCAATCATATCAAAATTTTTGGTAGACAGTTTTCTTTTAATTTATATTCTAACAGTTCAGTTGCCATCGTTCCCAATAAGTTCAAGATCAGGCACTAAAACCAGTTTTGTTACAAAGTGGAAGCAGTGTTATAGTTCCCTAACCCTGAGGGAAGTGGGTGCATTTTATCTAACACAATATTCTTTTTTCTTTTCTTTATATTTTCTTTTGACGACTCAACCATAATTTGTTGTAAGAAATATAAAAACTTACAAAAGTAGGTTTGACCGATGCCCATACATAAAGCAATGTGAATTGCCTAGTTGGGGATTAAGTTTATAGGAATATGATATCCATGAGGTTAGAACTAAACAATTAATGGTTGCATTGAGGATAGAAAACAGAGTGTGAAACATAGGATAAACAAAAATTAATAATGAGGCAGGAAGGAGACAAATTTTCCCCCATGACTATTGGACAACTTAGCAGAAATCAAATTACAAATTAAAACAAAAAGGCAAGTCAAAAAAAGGTCATGACAATCAGAAATTACAAACCATTTAGTTAAAAGAAATTGAGCAAGCCCACAAGTAATTAAAAGAAGTACCTCATAAACCCCTGGGTTCATCAGCAAAAGGTCTCGACTTCCAGATATCAACTGCCAAACAAGACCCCTTAAACAATCAGGAATTCCTTTTCTTATACGTCGTTTGACAACATGAGGCTTTCTCCTTGCATAATGTTTCCAATCACTCCCACCAACCCCAATCATTTTCCTCCATTTTCTAACTCTTCTAGCTTCCCTGAAAATTTTTAACCAACATAGACCACAATCAAGATTAATATTTGTTAGCATGAAGTATAAAATCATAAAGGACTACAATACTCATATCAACTAATAGAGCTTGAAATAAAATAAAATCATAAAGAGGGACTACTACACCCATATCAACTAATAGAGCTTGAAACAAAATTATTAAAGAAAAAACATACCTTTCGTAATCAGCGACTAACCTACTCTTCGGTAAACCTTCCGGAGTGCTGCCACCAACTTCCTGCTTTATAAACCCAAATCTGTCCAACGGTCTTTGTGGAGGAACTGGTCCTGGTTCATAGTCATCTATTCCTCTTCTCCTTTCCATTTCACTTATTCAAAGAAGCAAAAACAAGCCAAGAGGCAAACCATCTAACTTTCTATCCCTTGACATGGTAAAGCATTGGGAAAATGTTTGACCACACATACAGGCAGAATCTGAAAGCAGTAAAAGAAATCAATGATAACGCTTACAGCCACTTTAACCAAGACAAATGTAAGTCAATTCTAAAAGGCAATTCTATTCATCACAAAGAATCCAGCTAAAATGACAAAAGTATCAAATTGACAGACCTTGCTGGAGGCTGCAGCTATTAAAAATTATATTTACAGCAAAATATTCAGCCAAGAAAACAAATGACAACTTTGATTTTTTAAAAAATATGTGCATATACCAGACACTATGGTTATTATTAAAATTATGATCACAATCAGCAAAGAATATAGAAAATCGCAATCAATAACAAAAATTTGCCAAATTCATTATACTAATAATTATAGACAGCAAGGGAAGAATAATCCAAGAAAGGAAAAGGCTAAAAACAAACAAAGATGATATAATGTTATAAACTACAAGACAAAAAATTGAACATTTTTCATTAAAACAATCACCATTAAACTTTGAATTAAAAAACACATTCAAAAAATTTAAACAAAAAAAGGATGAATTACGCAAATTATAAAAACAAATGTAAACAAGATCATGAGAAGAAACTTAAAACCCACCAATATTTTGCCAAAAAATGAAATGAGTATCCTAAAAATGGCCAATTAATCAATGAATAACGAGATTTAAAAAGAAAAAAACCCTGAAAGAACTTATGAAAAGGAAAAAAAAAAAAGAAAAAAACCTGGGTGCTTACTGAGGAATGAGGGTGGATCAAAGAAGCGCTTATCTATTGTTCGAAATTTGTGGTTTATTAAATGAAAAAAAAAAAAAAAAAAAAAGCTAAGAATGGTGGTTTCATTTAAGGGTTTCTATCTGTTGGATGTTTTTCTAAACCAATCGGAGCAACGGGTAAGATACCCGAATTCTACTGAGCCTGTTTATTTAAACCCAATAAAAAGAAATAAGTGATAGATTAAAGTTTCAATGATATAGGATTTACCTAAATCAAGATGGGAGGAGATGAATCAAGAGAGAGAGGCGTTGAGAATTGAGATGGCGGAAACCAGAAAGAAACAAGAATAAAACATACGAATATCTGACCCCAAAAGAAAAAACATATGCATCCGAAATTCGGTAATGTAATAAAATAAAATTGTTAACTCTATAATAAAAATATATGAAATGATATAAAAATGATTAAAATACAATTAATAAAAATAAATTTAATTAATCATAAAATTATTGTAAAAAATTATACATTGATTATTATATAGATGTGATCATATTAAAAATTATAAAAATAATAATTTAGTCAAAAGTGTTAGAAATTTTGTGAAATAAATTACACACATTGTTTGAAAACTACAAAATAAATAATTTATGATGCAAAAATAAATTATCTCTTTTACATATCAAATCTCCATTTTTACAATTTTTTATTAAATTCACATATATTTTTTATTTAAATCAAAAAGGAAAAAATCGATTTGCTTTATTTGAAGTAAGATAATATACAATTTATTAACAAGTAGTTGTAAATATATATATAAAAAAAAAAAACATATTACTTCATGTCGCTAAGGTCATATAATAATAATAATAATAATAATAATAATAATTTTGTAAGAAATATTCATCCATAATGGATAAATACAATTTTAATTCTTATATGAACAAGTAATAACTATCAAAGGATAGTTGTAAATAATTTTGGTTTGAACTAAGAAAAGAAATCGGTCATAAAACATATATAAAGTTTGAATTTGAGTTCTATTTTAAAATGAAAAAAAAAAATTGGCGAGAGAATGAAAGATGTTTCTTCTAAACTATAGAGGATTTGAAACTAGAGAGGATGAAAAGCCATTCATCCATAAATATAAGAAAAGATTAAGAAACAAAAGGAAAGAGTGATCGACAAAGTAAAGGAATAAGAAATTTCTTGTGAAATTTTAAAGGAATTTCTTAATTCTAAGTTTAAATATTTATTCTGTAAAAATAAACACATTTTGAATGCATGATTTATTCTTAATCAGTAAATCAAGTCAATAATTTTTCACAATGCTTGAACAAATCCTTTAAATCTTTCATATTTTGATAATTGTGATTATTAGATTTATTCTTCAGTGGTGTTTATTATAAACACTAAAAAGGTAATATATTCTTAAGTTTTTATTGAAAAATGTCTAAAAATCTATGAAAGAATTATATAAAAGTGTAAAATTTTATTGTGAAAAATTGTTATAAATGTTTTGTGATGTTTATATATGTTGCCATTGACCTTTTTGGATATCCTGGATCATGGAATTTCGATTTTCAAAAAGGACATTCGAATGCTTGACCAAAATGTCTAAATGTCTTGAACAAAATTTCAAGTTTCAACGGTTGAAATTTTTCAAGCATTCAAATGCTCTATGATGAGCATTTGAATATTCTTTCATTTTTTCAAGATAGAATGCCAACAAGGTATTCAAATACTTTTATCAAAGCATTTGAATGTCCTATGCAATTTTTCAACCATATTGTTTAAAAGCATTATGGCAATTCACTACTCACGTTGGCATTCAACTACCTTATGACAAATTGTTTTAAAATCATTTTTTTATGTTATCCAATATTAACTTTAGGAGTATAAAAAACATAAGAATTATTAAAAATACGTTTTAGTCATTATAAGATTTGTGTGTTTATGAAATTTCTTTTATATACGTTACAAAAAATTATGATAATAATTGTGAAAACTCATATCATTATAATGACTTAGGCGTAATTGCTTACTCATTAGGTAGCTAATTGAATTAGTGTAGTACTGATTAGGATCCAAATGACGATGATATTGTAAGTCATATCATTAAGGGCTAATAGCACGAGTAAAGAGTTAATCTTATATGGTTACATACATCTAAGAAGGATTTAGTTATGTATAAGATGTCAAAAAGACGCGCTCTTTACGCTTAGATAAAAAATATTTTTCAAAAATTTTTGAATGTTTAACGAGAGGAACTTACTAAAATTGTAACTTTGATAAATGAATTTTTGAAAATGTAAAAATGGGGATAAGGAAGAGTGCAATCCTCTCTAATAGCCTAAGTCTTTATAATAGAAAAGACAAAATTCTTGAAACTCCATGGATAGTTAATAAGAATGTAAAACTATCAATGAAATTTATGGATTCTATCCCAGTCACTAAACAAGTGAAGCATTTCAATATGAAACATAATTTAATAAACATTACGTATGTTTAATTATAAGACTAATTAGTGTTGATAAATATATAAAAAAATGGTATTACTTAATGTTGCTAATTTTGTATAATAATAATAATAATAATAATTTGTAAGAAATATTCATCTATAATGTATAAATACAATTTTAATTCTTACTAGGTTTCAAGTTTGCACTTTGCTGCAAGTGTAAAATGGGAGTAAAATAAAATTATATACTTATAATTTAGATATAAAAGTAAAATAAAATTATATTTTAATAATTTAAATATTGAATAATGTATAAAAAGAAAAAGAGTTGTATAACTACTTATATTTTAAATATTTATATTAGTTGAAGTCAATGAAAATGAGTTATTAACTTACTAAAGATTTGTTTGTTTGTTTGTCATAATAATTGAATCACAAAAGAATAAATAACCTTATTTGTAACTCAACACTCTACACAAAAAATAATACCTAACAACTCAGAAACAAAGATATATTAATTTAAAACACCAATTATTGCTAAAAGACTCTAGAATAGTTAAAAGCAGAAACTTCATAAAACTTTAAATTAGTGAATTAGGATCATGTTGATCTTATAAATCTATTTTGTCTAAAATTTTTATGCCTCAATTTAACTCAAACTTAAATTATTCTTTAAAGGGCATAACTAAATGCTAGCCTAGAAACCTATAAAGAAAATCAAATACAAAGAATGAAATACCATAAAGTTAAATGAAAAAGTAATCTTCAAAAACCACCTACTGTATCAAGTGAATTTAACTTCTAATAAATTTTACAAACTCAATGACCCGAATAATATACAATTAGAAAGTTCATATTCTAATTTGTATATTTTTTAGATATTAATTTATATATATTTTAAAGTTTTAGTATCAAAATTATAATTAATTCTTTTACTTTAAGAGATAATAATAACAACAACAACAATAATAATAATAATAATAATAATATAGCTATGATAAATAATTGTTAAATGTAAATCGTAACTGTAGACACCCTATTTAGTCCGGACCCAAGTCCATTGGGCTTGGTCCAATAGGGTTTGGGTCTAAGCCCATTGAACCCAATTTAGGATCCAACTAGTAGGCCCAATTGACTTTTATTTTTATTTTTCTTTGATTTTTTTAGTTGATTTATCTGTTTTATTATATTTATCATTAGTTTAACAAGATTTAGTGATAAAAAAATAAAAAATTATATCTTTAGTTCTAAATTGGAGGTTGTGGAGTTCCTATAGGTTTTAATATGATGTAGGATGAGTCTTAAGTTTTGGGATAACCCAGTCAAATGAGGACTTTGATATGATCAAAAATTCTTTTGATTTGGTCCTATAAACAGCAACAAAGCAACGAAAATGAGGGGGAGAAAAAACAGAAGCAAAACAAAGGGGGAAGCCCCCATCGCCACAGACCCTTAAGGCCTCTTTTTGGTGGGAAACCTTCCCTTCCTTGACCCTGACCTTCACTCCTATTGGGCTGTATTAGCTAGTACCTATGAGCCAGTTGCGAAACTCCAACTTGGGAGCACAGATTGGGTGACGCGAAAGGCAGCTGCTGATGCTTTGAGTGCTTTGGCACTGCATTCAAGCAACTTGATTGCAGATAAAGCAAATTGAGGGTGGATCTCCCTTTTATCTACTTGGTTAATTGATGATTCAACAGTTGAAATGAAATGTTGATGAAGCTTTGGCAGTATGCAAATTTAGGCTTGAATCTTGATGTAGTGGTCACCTAAAGACTGGCAGAAACAACAGGCCATTTTGTTTCATAACATCCTTGAAATCAATTAATGCATCTAAGAATCCTCCATGAAAAAAAAAAGAAAAGGGAAATCAACCAACAGAAAATAGCAAAGCTTATTTTCATCTATTCTCAATGGTGAACGCTTACGCCAGATCTGTTCCGGAGGTTCTGGATTTTCTTAGAGCAAACTCGACGAAAGGTCTCAATTACTTTTTTGCTAGTGCTGAACTTTTAACTGCATCGAATATTTTTGCAAAAGTTGGATTTGGTTCTGGATTTTTTGGGGTAGACTCGACAATAGGTCTCATTGATTCTTAAGAGTGATTATGGAAACAAATGCTGAAAAGACTCTTGAGGAGCTATGTGCCTACCAAGCTGATATCGCAACTGTGCTGCGCAATGGTTGTTTTTCAATACTTCCTGCACTTGTGCTAGTTCCAGGAGACATAGTAGAAGTTAGTGTGGGAAGCAAAATTCCAGCTAATATGAGAATGATCTGATGTTGCTTTTGGAAAAACCAAAATCGAGGTACCAATATTTTTTAAAGGGATTGTACATTTAGTAAATATGGCTAATAGCTTGGTTTTAAAGGTGCTTTTTGCATTTTCTTCAGCTTATTCTGCTAACCCGAAATCCAAATTGTTGGGGCCTCCATTACTTACTGGATCTGCCATTTCGTTGGCCTCAGTTGTGTAAGCCAAAAATAATGCTCGGATCATGATCACTGGCTCCTTAGATGTGTTCAGTAACCAGCTGTTTAGAACTGCTACGTACAAAGCTGAAAGCCCGTTTAAATTTGAGAAATCAGGTAATGAGCAGTTTATGATAAAAATTAGCAAATAGGTCTTCTATGAAAAGGGGTCGCGGCATTGCATGGATAGTTATCAAGCCGGACGCTATTGCTAGTGATGTTGGTTTTTGGGATCGCGTTGCCTTTTCTTTTCGTTAGAATTACCTTCTTAGTTCTTGAATCTATTTTTTTGTCTTCTTGTTCTTCTCCTATCAAATG